ATCACTTTCAATCTTATTGTACTTCACTCCCACTTTTCAGTCCCAGGCAACAAGTACTGTACTTTCTGCCTCTACAGATTTGTCTGTTCTGGACATTTCCTATAATGGAAACCCAGGTGATCCTTTCTCATTGGCTTCTTTCACGTAAGATGATTTCAAGGTTCATCTCTGCTCTAGCACGTATCGCTCTAGTACTCCATTCCCTTTACTTTTTAATCATATTTCATTACGCCACTATAACACATTCCATTAATTGACAGACATTTGGGTTGACCTACTTTTGGCTATTATGAACAGGCTGTTATGTAAGTTTGCATGAAAGTTCTTGTGTGGAAATGTTCTTTTATCTTGGGGCCTGTTACAGATTGAATTGTGACCTCTAAAAAAGATACACTGCAGTTCTCATCTCCAGATCTCTGAATGTGACCTTATTTGGAAGGGGCCACTAACAGAAATAATGAAAGTTAAAATGAGGTCCCTGGGTGGGCCTTAATGCAACAATATTGTATCCTTAACAAAGAAAAACAAAAATTTGAGCAAGAATCACCAATACCCACCAAAGAAGACCACCTGAGGAGGGAGGGCCTGAGTGATGCTTCCACAAACCGAGGAACACCAAAGACAGCTGACTGTCCCCAAAGGCTAGACAAGGCAAGAGAGGATGGCCTCCTAGAACCACAAGAGGTACAGTACAACCTGCTAACTCAGCACTTCCAGCTCGCAAATGAAACTTCTGTTGTTTGAAGTCAACCAGTTTTGGACACTTCCTTAAGTCCCCCTAGGAAACTATCAAGTACATGCTAGGAGTGTGAATGTTCCATCTTAGGATATCTCTTTAACCCTTTTAGGGAACTACTGCATTATTTTCCAAAGCAGCCAGGCAATATGATTAAATTATCTTTCAATGAATTATTAATGGTTTCAAATTTTCCCTTAAATCAGAAAATCAAGCTTTTCTTTCTGCCTAACCTTGCCCTCTAGAGGTAATCTGTATCCCCACTATGACAGTCTCCTTCACCACTGGCTAAACCTTTTTACTATTTCCCTTAAAAATAACAGAAACAGTTAAATTAGTAATGTACTAATAAGAAGGGGCATCTAGCGTAATCTGTGATTGAGGCTACAGAGTAATCTTACAGTTAAACTTGAAGACGGGTGAAGAGCATAGGAGAGGTAGTCTTCCTTCCCTTCCTCCCCGCTTCCCTCTCTCTTCTTGTCAAAGGAGAGGTTTTAATGAGCGTGAAAAGAAAGGATCCTGAAGGAGATGGTAGCACTTCCTGTGGGGAGGGAGGCTGGTCACAAGGAGATCAAAATTCCACCTCTAGAAAAGGGATTGATGTGGTTGGGCAGAATACATCTGGCAGAAACTCAGAAATTCTGAATTTTAGTTTGTTGTCCTAACAGGAGCTTCAACTCTTTGTCAAACAATCAAATCCAATAATGATGAAATTATATATCATTTTATTAGATTTCTGATTATTCTGAACAAGGAAGAACAGAACCATCTATAGCCAAATAAATAAAACATACGCTCACTGACATACAAACGGATTAAGCGCCAGGTCTGGCCAATCAAGTTTTTAACACCTAATAAAGTCTGTAGATTTTAGATCTGAGCATGATTGGTGGATGTCAGGTATTTCAGTAATGATTCGGCTCTTGGTCATATAAAAATTGGGGGGAAATAATCATAGGCTAAAAAGTTTACATTAAAATCTTAGATCACTTTGTTTTGCTACCAATAACCTATTTGCACTTATTTCACGTACAATATCAACCTTTTCATTGTCACTGCCTCTTAAAGAAAAATAAGGAGGAACGGAAAGGAATGATGGAGAAACACATTCTAATACCAGATGGCCGACTGCTGGCAGTGATGCAGACCGGAAAGCAGAGCAGATCACTGCAAAAGCATAATATCTGGGACCAATACGGGATAGGAGGGGACAAAGTTCCCTCAAGGTGTCACAGGGAATCGCAGGTGACCTGGAGTCCTCAAATAGTTCGTGCTACTGAAGCAGAAGGTAATAAACTAGTACATTAAAAAAACAACATGGAGTAATTGAAATAAAATTAAGGCTACGTTCTTCAAACTTTCAGAGTCAAGACAAATTTTTTTTTTGTGTGTGTGTGTGTCCCCTTGGAACTTTCTCCTGATCAGTGACTGCTCAGTGTGGACAAGGAGGACTGGAAGAAAAGAACAGCTCAAGAACCCTAGGTTTGAAAACACAGCCCTAATCGTGTAAAGTTGGAAGAAAGTGGGCAAAAGCTGAAGTTCAGTTTACTTCACTTGAAAAACTCTAAGAAATTTACCTTCAATATCATTTTTACAATTTATTCCCTTCCTAGCCTACTTTCATTCTATTGCAACGAAACACATCATCTTTTTAGATCAGTGTTTCTCAAAATTCAGAATTCCAACCCACAGTACCCGCTAGCTGGCATGCAAATTCTCAGGCTCCACTCCAGACCTAATAACTTACAAACTGCAAGGATGGAGCCCAAAATCTGTCACAGGCACCTCTCAGATGACTCTGAGGCTCACTCATGTCTCAGAGCCTCTGCTTCAGACACTCTGAATGTCAAAGGCAATGGAGTTTTTATTTATAGAACAATTTGCTTCTTGAGTCCAAAGTGACAAAGAGGCAGACAGAAGGAAAGTCTGCAATGTAAATAGTGCGTCAGCTTAACTGCTAGATTACGGAACAAAGGTAACACTACACAACCTCTAATAAGCAAAGCTGGTACCTTCCAGATGTTTCAGGAGGGCTCTACTGCTATTTCCGTGAGCAGATATCAGAATGGTTTTGCCTTTCAGTATTTCAGGAGCAATCCTCTCATTCCAGTAGGGAAGAAGTCTCTCCAGAACATCCTTTAAGCTTTCAGCTCGAGGCAGCTGATCCAGGGGAACGTCGCACACTTTATACCTCCGGTCATTGTAGATTTCATGGTAGTAGGGATGCGACTCTTCGATAGGAGGTGGGGTCACATTGTAGCTTCTTCTCCACAGCCTCACTTGTTCTTCACCATGATTCAAAGCCATTTTCTCCCTGTTGAGCCCAATCAAGGCCCCATAGTGACGCTCATTTAGACGCCAGGAGCTTTCCACAGGGACCCATTCCTGGCCCAACTCTTCGAGGATCAGCCAGGCTGTGTGGATGGACCGATTAAGGATGGATGTGAACACAAGATCAAACTCGAAGTTTAGTGCTTTGAGTTGCTTCCCACAATTCCGAGCTTCCTCCAACCCTTCGCTGTTAAGTTTCTGATCCACCCAGCTACAAAATCGGTTCTCCTTATTCCAAGCACCCTCGCCATGCCTCAGTATAATAAGTTTGTACTTGGACATACTGACGGCTCAGCTCCCCTGCGATTTTCAAATGGAATGATGTTCAAGGACAGCAATACATCTAGAAAGAGAAAAAACAAAAAGTACAAGCTGTATTCTTTATTCACATGACTCCCTAGGGGTGGCAAGCCGCACAACTTCACAGCAGCCAGTATCTAAAATCAGCCGAAATTCCTTTGAGCAGTCTTGACGTCAGACATCTGTACCCATACACTACGGCAAGTATACACCTGTTCTCCAGATAATTATAGACAATCTGGTTATTTAGATTTTTTAATGCCTGTACAGTGTGTTGATGGTATGCTATAAAAAACCAGAACACTTCATTCTAATGGAATTCTGTTTCCACCAGATAAAAAGGCTATTCCTGCTTCCAGGATAGAGGACTTCATAGATAGACCCACAGAGGTCTGAAAGAATGACTCCTGTCTGGGTGGGAACCCACCCAGTTCCTAGCAGCTGATTCACGCTCCAGGCATCCGTCTCACTTTGTTTTTTCTCCAGTGGAAAAAACAAACATTTATCCATCTGCAACTTGCCTTCTTATTATGGAAGTTACTAAACATGTGAACTCAGTAAACCAGCACATACATCTCGTCTTGTATCTCTGACTGGTGGCAACCAGCTCTTCAGTGCCAGAGTCCATACCACACACAAGCAAAGGAAGGTATTCGACACACATTGACTCAGCACTGAAACAGCATGAAAAGTGATTTCAGGTGACATCACACTGGAAGTGGTACTCACCTAAACAATCTTTAACCTGCCTTAAGATGCAACTGTAGGCAGCAATAAATCCGGATGCAAAACAAGCTATCAAATGTGAGCAGCTGTCAGATGCTGCCTGGAGAAACAGATTACCAAGAGCAGGTCCACGGGAGTGGGGACCACACTGATAAGGGAGCCTCCTCTCCGACCGCGCAGAGAGTCTCGCACACCAGCCACATCTCAGCAGGAGGAAAATCGAGGAAGTGGGGTGAGCAGCTGTAAAGTGACTGTGAACTCCCTACACTTATGTTACTCAGAGATCTCTGCGTCCACTCTGTCCCCTGGAAACACCTGCAGCATGGCCAGTGCCAGCCTCGCGTCATTCTTCTTGTGGGGACGCAGCTCCAGTGGCCCAGCCCCCTCCACCCCCACTCGTGTTCTTCCACACTGGACAGTACAGATTGCCTGAGCAACACGGCCAAGTCTTCTGCCACTCGGCAATTTCCATTAACTTGGGATTTTCTGTCCCACTTCACTGTGAGTCACATATAGTTATATAACAACCAGTAACAAAGCTCAATGGAATCTGGATCTAGTTTCTACCTTTCATAGTAATTCTTAGAGATTCTAGGAGACTTAGAAATTAGGGAAGAAATCGATTAAGATGATTTGCAACTACCAAAAATAAGGCCTAGACCTCTTGAAAACTAGAGATCAAAAATGCCAGCCCCCATCAGCCTATCCTTGCCTCACCTGCCATTACAGAGTAGGCATCAAGCAAGAGAACAGCGAGGTATGATCTGCATGACAGTGGCCATCACCATAGTAATGCTCAGCTAGGGCATATATTCCAGGTAGGCCTTATTTTCAGGGAAACACAGTAGTGGTAAAGTCACAATAGTGAGGATTATGATGTCCCTTTCCTGCCAAGCACCAGATTTGAAGTATACATGGAGCAAGAAGTCCCATGTTCTCCAAAAGATGACCTGAAGATGCGGGAACTGGAGCTCAGGTGAAGGCATCTCACAGGGCTGAGAACTTCCAGGGAGAGGGCACAAAGTCTCTGCCCTCAGTCTAGGAGGGACATCAGGGTGGCAGAATAAAGAAGCGGACAAAAATCATCTGGACCATGCTTTGTCAGGTGACTGCCTGGCCCCAGAGACAGGATAATCATGAGGTTACTGAAACTCCATCTTTAGGGTCCTCACCTGGTAGAGAACAAGCATTCCGTATGTGTGCACATGCATGAATGCATGTGTCTGTGTGTTATATCCCCAAGGAAGATATTGTTTCATAATGTTTCTTTAGAAAGCCCAAATCCATGGGCTGGGGATATAGCTCAGTGACACAAGTGCCTGCCTGGCCAGTGCAAGGTCCTGAATTCGATTCCCTGTACCAAAACAAAACAAAACAAAAAAAACCTCTGTTACTAAAAAGCCCAAATCCAGTAGGGTAATACCACCTTCAGGCTGTGAGAACTGGACCTACCTCTGTGACCACTTATTATTTTAGTAGTGGTAGTGGAGGAGGAAATTGGATAAAAGCGAAGCTATCCACTGTTCCTCTGCTTCAACCTTTAGTTTGTCCTGCCAAGTGAGAATCTACCAGGCTAAGCAGCTAAAGAAGCTATTTTCTCTTCAAGCAAAGAAGGGCCTGATGGACATATTCTCCAAGCAGAAACACCTCTCCATCATCTTTTGACTATCAACTATATCAAGGGAACAAAATGCATAGCAATAACATCAGGTACCTACTGTCAAACTTTGTAGGATATTAATTGCTATATTTGCTTTCTTTATTTAAAAATAAAGCAAATTCTATTTTTATGCAAACTATATTTTATATGGATACATAGATCTATCTATATATAGATATATACATATATATTTATATAGATATTTATCTAGATATATCTATATATATCTATAGATATATCTATATATAGATATATCTATAGATATATATAGATATATCTATAGATATATATATTGGAGTAGAGGAATAGTGTTAGCCCACAAAAACTAAAAATATACCCCTTCCCTCACTGTGCTGTCCAGAAGGGCATATACGGTAAGGTACTAAACTAGTGTGTCTATCTCCAGGAAACAATGTTTTTCTCTCCTCTCCTTGGGACTGTTGACTACTTTTCTTATTTACCTAACTGCTGAATATGTGCAAAGGGGTGAGACCAAGCAGCATCAAAGCAGTTAGAACTTTTCTGGAGAACCTAGCATGTCACTGGATATCATGCACTAAGTAGGTGTTTTGGATGAGTCAAGCTAGACAACAATTATTAGGTCATGCTACTGAGGCTAATGCTTGACAATCCTAGTGGTAACCTCCAACGTAAAAACAGTCAAGGGGTGGTTTTTGTAGCCTGAGATGTTAACAAGCTTTAAGCCAAGAATCCCAGTGTATTTAAAATGGCAAACCAAAGTCAAGAGTAATGGTGCACTCTAGTTGTGTGCCCTGTATTTCTGTAAGTTTAGTATGTTCATGCATGGCCATGATCTTTGCAGAGAAAATGGAGACTGACACATGTCACTAGATGGCCAACTGGGATGGTGACCCACATCTTCTGCTTCCAATCCCTGGGTCTTTCATCCTTACCACTGATGACTTCATTCTTGGGGATACAGGCTCACTTGACTTTACCGCATGGGTGAATCTGCAGTCACAGCTCATCCTCCCAAACCTAGGCTACCACTTCATTAAATGTATCTGTGAAGAAGGGCTCAGCTCACTACTGTTCTGCAGACAAATCAAGGCAGAACGTCAGGCCAAGCAGTGATCACCCCAGCTGGTGAAGAAGGACCTTCCTAAGAACAGACTAAACCTACCCCACCACAGGGAAAAATTGCCTTTTTAAACCCTCAAGCGTTGATCCTTGTTTTGTTTTTTTGGTAAAGCCACCAACCTGCAGTTGGTTCTTAAGGTTCCTTAAATAAATATCCCTCAGCGAGCTACTGAGATTGAAAAACTCACTTTAATCCATAACTTACCCCATAGCAAAAGACGGGCCTCATAAATTATTGGATTACCATTCCCCAGAGATTTTTCCTTTTTCAAAGTTATGGTCTGGTTTGAAAAGAATGGCTACTAAACAAAGATATCTTCTACATGACTCAACCTCCTCCTCCTCCTTCCCACTCTTGCTCCCTTGTATGCATTACTTTCTTAGTTCTCTGACACATTACGTGTGTCTTGCCCATTCTAATGAAACTGTCCCTCAAGCGACTGCAGATTAGTTTCTTACTAAATGAAAACCATCATCTCTTAGGATTTGCACTGCTTTGATTCCCCTGAAGCTGACTACTTCCATCAGAGAAAAATACATGTGGGAAGACTTTGGTGCAGCATTTCCTCCAGCAGTCCTCTGTTATGTCCTTGGGTTCCTGTGCTTTTTGACCCCCCGTGGTAGTGATGATGATGATGATGATGACAATGATGACGATATTAACCACAAGAGCTAACATTCATACAGTGCTCACCGTGTACTTGGCACTGTTTACCCTCAACTACCATTCCATGGAATAGGTTCTATAATTACCCCTACTTTACAGATGCAGAAACTTAGGAGGTTTCATCCTTGAAACCTCAAACTTAGGTTTCATCCTTGAAACACGTTGCAAACCCCATGAGGCACAGCACCATGGTAGGCCTGTGAGGAGTCCAACACAGATTATGCTTTCAAGAAACCAATGAGGAAAGGTGATGTGGTGTGTGTGTGTGTGTGTGTGTGCATGTGTGTGTGTGTGTGTGAGAGAGAGACTAAAGCTGAAAGTAATTCATACCATGAAAAGCACTTATTCATAAAGGAAGCAGGAAGGAAGAAATTACTTCTGAGTAACTTCACAGCCATTGTACTCTTTAAGCTGCATTTGGAAAGACAGTTAAGATTTTGATTTATAGAAAAAGGGAAATAAATTCTAAAGAAACAATGAGTAGAGTCAAAGGAACAGGTGCACATAGAGAATAGCAAGCCCATCAAACAGGCTGGACTTATAAGAAGAGCGACTATACATCTTTATTTCCCTTGAGCAGTACTGCCTTAGGCCTGTTTCCTTCCCAAGCATAATTATTACTAGGGACCCTTTCACACTCAAGTATCCCATTTGGAAAATTATATGGTTACCCTAAGTATAGGGTATACCCAGGAAGTAGGAGGAGATGAGTCAAGAAAGTGAGACTGAACAGCGGCCCGAGGAAGGTTGGGTGCAAAGGATGCAGCCTCTTTTATAAATTGAGATGTCATTAAAAGTTAATAGCATGCATTTGGAGAGGATAGGCAGCACTCACACACAGAAAGACAGGAAAAACCAGGGGTGTGAGTACTATACTTGCTGTGAGGCTTTTGCAATAGTTCTGATAACGTATAATGAAGACCTGGGCCAGGATAATGGCTATTAAAGTGGGATGAAGGAGATAAATGTGAAAGATACTATGGTTTAGACATGATATTTCAGCTCTGATATTAGTAACTTTTTCTACAAAAGGGCAAATAAGAATTTGGGAGGACACTATGGGCTACAGGGTCTCTGTCATAATTATGTGCAAATCTGCTATTATAGCTGAAGCATCTATACATGGATCAGACATAAAAGAACAGGTGTGGATGTGTTACAATAAAACTGAGTATGAACACTGCCATTAGAATTTCATATAATTTTCATGCACATGAAATTCTGTTGTTATTAGATTAAGCTACATTTAAAGTGTAAAAACTGTTCACAGCTTGAGGGCTGCAGAAGAACAGGCCACGGGCCAGAAGGCTTGGAGGTATGCAGGTCCCAACCTACCTGGGTCCCTTCCTCACATCTTTTAACTACATCAGCATTTTTAGTCTTAACTAGGAATCCTGTCATAGGATGTACTATTAAATCATCAGATTTTATTCCTGGCCAGAACTTCAAAGTACCTTTAGTAATGGAATATCATTCACAATTATTTTTTTATCCCCTCACAGAAGACAAGATTGAGTACATTTAAATCCATCTAAGTTTTGCTTAATTGATTTAGGAATGGGTTCAAGATAAAACTATAGGAAAAAAGTAATGCATCTTGTTAACCTCCCTGAACATATATAGTCGGTCATTTAGACATGGTTTACTCCTCTGAGACATCTTCATAAACTATCCCACAGTGCCTTGAACTTCAGGTGAGTGTGTGCCTGATGAGCGGGAGGTGCTAAGCAACTGCTTTGGTAATAAAGAGACAAACGGGTGGTTCACAGGACATACTTTGCAGGTGACTTACCACTTTCAAAGATTTTTTACTATCTATGTATAGAAATTCCATCTGGATGCATTAAGCCATATAATTTCATATGCTGCATCCTACCTAAAACTGAGGCCCACCCTGTTTTCCAAATGAACAGTTTTAGGTCTTTGCTTCCTTCTTTCTTCAAATGTTTGAAAATTAATGTCTAAGACACTCTAAGTCATGCAAAGGTGGGGCAAAGCAAAGGGTCAAGTCCAGCCTCAACACTTAGTTTTTCTTCCATTTCCAAAAACTGAGCAAGAAATTTGATCCACAATATAATGTCAAGTTATATAAAATAAGGGCCTTAGAGCCAGAATCACTTTGACCCAAAGCTTATGGGTAAACATTAAATATTCAGTTATTTCTCCAGACCACTCAGATGTTTGTCCTGGTCCAAATCCTCAGCTTTGACCAATTCTTAGCTCCACCAAATGAGGGACCCACCTGTATAGAAGATGGGCTGACTCTATTGGAGGGCAGAGAGACAACGAGGTCATGATGCTCGGGATGAATTAAAATGAAACCATGCTCAAGAGAAATGCAATCCAGTGCTTAGTTCCTTACAGCTTCAAGTATCTTAATAAAATACACCTTCCCCCAAACCAAGTGCAACATTAAATGTTCAAACATGACTGTTCCTTAAAGTACTTAATATTCCAAGTTCTATTATTTTATAGCAACTTTTCTGTTTGTATTTACAATTATAAGAACATCTCTTTATAACCATTGCTCATGGATGTTTCCCACTTGTTACAGAGTAACAAAGTACACTGAGTTGGAGGCTCCCTGCTCACAGGGAAGAGAGACAGGTGGAAGAGATGCCTGTTTTCCTGGGACAACAGTACTTGTTCCAGCCTGCTTGGTACAAAACCATTGTGTAAAACACTCATATATCCCCTTCTTCTCTCTGGTTGCTTAATTCCTTAGAGTAGTAGCTTTGCCAAAACTGACTGTATCCCCAAATCCCAAAAATTCTAAGTAAAAAAACCTGGTTATAAGCCTGGCTCTGCTGCTTACTGACAGTATGACCTTGAATGTTTCATATCCATAAAGATGATAATAATGAAACTCCTATTCTCAAGGGACTGTTAGGAATATTAACTGAATTACGGTGAAGCACTCTACCAAAAACTGAGAGGCAGAAAGGAGGAGACTTTGAGGAATTCACAAATACTGGCAAAAAAATTTCAGGCCCATCAAAACCATCCTACCTGGCTCATGGTGAGAAAAGAAACAAAATCTGAGGATCAAGTAAACTGAGGGAGAAGATTAGAGAGGAGAAGTTTAAATTAGACAGTGGGAGGGAGAATGTGACAAATGTGGGTGGAAGAATATGATGGAAAGATAGTCCTAAAAACATTCTAAATAGTAAGTAACACTTTGCAATCTAAATACTTTTGTAGTCAACAAGGATATTTCCTCCATACCTGTGGCAAAATGTCAAAGAATGGGTTTTTGCTATTAATATTTTTTGTCCTGCTTCTCTACATACACTTCCTCTCATAACAGATTTCATTCCAAGGATGGTCAAGAAACTGTTCACTTCAAACTTTCTTGTCTCCTATATTCTCAAGGCAAGCCACACAAAGATGAATGCACAGAGGAACTTAGATGTATCACAGTGTAATATGCATTAGTGAAATATGCCTCTGAATGTCAACCAACCATTGGGTAGAAGGGAAAAGAGGGACAGGCCAACAGATCTTCCCAAACACTAACCATCTAACCATTAAGGATGATACTCTGCCACACTGTAACTCTTACTCTCCAAGTTCCTACAACGATCTGCTTGACTTGCTTTAGGGTAAATACGGATAATCTGTCCCTAAGCTGGGAACTTTTATCTGCAGAATTTACTGCAAAGATATTTTGCTTGTGGAATGGGATTGTCTAGTCATCTTTATTTTAAAGCATACTTTAATACAGCATGAACCTGAGAAATAATCTAAAGAAGCTTCTCTGCCTTTGTAAAGATGTGAAAATGGAAAGTCAGAGTTGCAATAATTTGTTTAAGTTTATAGTAATAGTAGCAGCTTCAGGACTAAACCCAAGATGTGTTGATTTCTAACTATGCCATTTGTTTTGTTTTCTAAAATTCTCTACCAGGGGAGGCTGTCAATCTATGGTGTGTGAGGTGCCACCGGAAAACACAGATGGATAAACCTAGTGGACTCAGGGGAGATAGTTTTGAAATAAAAATCAAATTGGCATGAGTTCTTTTATTATAGAAAACTTTGGTACCCACAGGTGAAAAACCCCTCTTGGGAAGGGGTTCACATTCACTTAGTTAATATTCTACAATCATTCACAAGCTATAAATTCTCCACAATTTGGAAGGGAGGAGGCAGGGGAATGGAAGTTAAGTTAGCTAACAACCAATTATTCTTCAAAGTCTAACTGCACTTAATTTCCATTATGCATCATTTTGACCTTATCTTATGTAGTACGCGCCCCCATCTCTTAGAACAGAGGGAATTACACTGACTTAAAGGTTCAGTGCTTTTACGAACCTGTAACCTGGCTCCTGAAACCGCTGCACATTTTCATCTCCTTTCCTTTTATGGCATTCAAGTGTTTCACATCTGTTTAAACCTTCAGGGCCACGTCTGCAATCTTCATTGATACAGTGGCAGAGCCCGATGCCCGAGAGGCCCCCACACCTGCCTCACAGTGCAAGAGGGAAAAGTTCATCCCCGCTTCAGCTGCCAGCTATTTCTGCCACCGAGTCACCAGCACCGGGCCTTCCTGCACCCAACAGAACCCCTCAGTCTTTCAAAACGGAATCGTTCGCACCTGTAACGCTTCTCATCAAAACCACTCACCTGCAAAGAGGCCACCAGCAACCGTTGCTGCCCAACAGAGTCACAGAGCTGCCACCGCCTCCTACAATTCATCGCTGCCGCCGGCATCAACACTCTTTTCTACCCCGCAGCCAGAAGGGGGCCAACAGTGTCGCTCTGCCTACTGGAGGACGTAGCTGTCACTCACCTACGACCCCGCCCCATTCCTGGGATTGGCGGAGGGTATTTCCGTTTCCCAAATCCCTGGGGTAGAAGAGAGGGGCTGATTGGCTTGCTGGGAAGACGAACATGTGTCTACACCAGTGAGCGCATGGCTTCAGCCCCAGGGGGCGGGCGTGGACGTAGGTCAGGTAGAGGAACAAACTTCCGAGCGTTGCCCGGCTATGGCAACGCCTAGGGCCGAGCGACCTCCTGGAGGGTTTGATGTTGGAAGCGTTTCGCGGCCCAGGGAAGCAAGCGCCTTTAAGAAACGGTGTCGGAGGAATTTTGGAAGCAATGAGGTGATGTTTCTTTTACTTGGAACCTGGTCTGGGCTGTTCTCACGGAGGAGCGCTCCTTTGGCACGGATGCGCGTGCTTTTAAGTCTTACACTGAGATCAGAGCGAAAGCCTTTTAAGGGTCCGGTTTATACACAGTAGCTCCTTCTTACTTTCTCTCACTGCATTCATAGGGATTCTCTTTAGGCAGTTCCCTGACATTGTTTTAGATGGGGAAGAAAAGTCATGAAGGCCCTACAAGCTTCTAGAACAGAAAAGGGCAGGGCAGGGGAGAATGGGAGAGTATTGTAAATTCCCAGGCCAAATCCACTGAACAAGAGAAACCCGTGATACTGCCATCCAGTCACCTGAGGCCAGCACTAGCCTCTAGAACTTCTAGGCAGGTCCGAACTACTGCATAAACTGGCCAGGTTTTGGGTGAATGGAAAGGATAAAGAATGGCCTGTTTGCCTAGCCATTCGCAGAGTTTCTCTTCCTGATTTCTAGAAGCTATCACACTAGATTTAGTGTGACCAGCCAGCAGAATAATTATACATACATTTGTAAGATGATTTTGCCTCATTTTTAGTTCTGCGGTGGCCTATGAATTAATCTCATTAAGACCTAACCATAGCTAGTTCTGTATCTCATTTATCCTTCCAAGAGCACAAGTCCTCCCTAGATTCTGGAAGACCTTACCTTTAGGTCTGGGAGAACACAAATCCAAGGCCTGACAGTTCCCACTAGGTGTTAGACCCCTATGTGTATCTGGTGGTAGTTGGATTTGAACTCAGGACACCTGAGGGAAGCACGTCCACTTGCTCTTCCTTTCTTCCATACCAGATGAAGACAAATTTAAAAGTAAGCTCTTCTTTTATTGTTGCTGATTGAACTCAGGATATTGTGTGTGCTAGGCAAGAACTCTAGAACCAAGCTACATCCACAGCCCTTTTTATATTTTGACACATCATTTTGGTAAATTGCCCAGGCTGGCCTTGAACTTGTTATCTTTTACCTTGGCGGCTGGGGATTTAGCTCAGCGGCAAAAGCGCCTGCCTGGCAAGCGCAAGGTCGTGAGTTCGGTTCCCGGTACCGGAGAAAAATCTTTTGCCTTGGCCTCCAAATAGCTAGTGTTCCAGGCGTGCACCACCGTGCCCAGAGAGGACAAAGTTTTCTACTGTAACACTAAAGTTCCTTACATGGAGCACCCACCGCCCTGCTCTAGAGGATGAAGATAGATATTTACAAGTGGCAGAGTTTTATGGTATTTGACTTTTAGGGATACTGACTGTGGATTTAAGGGCACTTGCTCATTGAATTTAATTTTACTATGGTTATGAATACCCATGGAGAGCTAGCTATCACATAAAACTTTAACAATATCAAACATCACAGGCCCTTTAGAATCGTTCACCAGTGTGCTGGATTGACAACTGGTAGTCAACTAGTAATCCCCAGCTGAACTGAATGAGCATGGTGCTGGTGTGGAGGTCCCACCTAAGGATTGTTGCCAATAACATAAAAAGGAGAACTGGAGAGGAAAAGATAGATGGCCCTGATGATTCTCCTGGAGAAGCGAGTGGTGCTGGCTTTTCTGATACGAACTTGGCTCAGGACCTCATTGTCGCTGAGGATGGCTGCAGTTCAATTTGGGGGTGCTCTGGTCCTTACTTTGAGTGTGGCTTCCTGGCTCCAGTGCAGGTTCCTCAGCCTGCTGGCACAGATCCTTCATCCAGCTGCTGCAGACTTTCTAGCTTCCACCACTGAACTTTGGGTCTTCCCAGCGCAGATCCGTGAAACAGATTTGCATGAGATACTGTTGTGCGCCCAAGGCCCTTAGCTGGATTCTTTGGGTCTTTAGTGTGTGGACAGATTTCCCGAACTCTTTTTGTATTTGACTCTTTGGGTGATTATTATAAAATAATCCTATAAATTATGTGTCCTGTGTTGTTTTCCTTGCAAGCCTGACTGCAACCAGAATAGTTGGGCTTATGAATAAGTGGTTTTGCTATTAGTTGGAAGCAATTTCATCAGTGATTCTACTGAGTAAGAAGAAGCAAATTTTCATCATGAGCAACTGTGGTATTTGTGACACAAATATGCATAGAGCCTGACAATTCAAGGTGTCACAATTGTCCTATGGCAACACTGTTTTTCCATAATTATTCACAGTAACAGTGTGGTGTCACAGACCCTGTGTTCTGATCTGTTCTGTGAACTATCTTAAGAACTTTGAAGTAGATTGTGACTCACAACATTGTCAAAAATCCATTTAAGGCAAAGATAAACTCAAAAGACAGTAGACTAATAAAAACGTATTCCTTGACAGGGATTTAGAAAGGAAACTCTAGCCCCTTACTGTATAGGTAAAGAAACTGAAAATTAAGTGGTTTTCTCAGAATTATTTAGTAGTTTGGGGGAAGAGCTGGAACAAGGACCCAATGCTGCTAACTAGTAATTTTGGGAAAATTCTCCCTCCTGCTGTTGCCTTTCTCAGACCCTCCAGGAAAGCAGTTTATTTTTAAGAATCAAGATGATTAATTTTAAATGAAATTCCATTAAGACCAATTATTTGGAATTCTGATATAGTGCAGTTATTAGGAAAATTACTCCTGTCAGTTCACTACTTCAGACAACTTTGGAGGTAGTCCCACTTTCATTGAAATAAATGAAAAAGCAATAAATTATTACAGTCATCTTGTCTCTTTTTCTGCATATCAAAAATATTAACCCATATGCCGCTTGAGGGATTGCTTTATTCATGACCTGAGTAAAATACCACTTTAGTATAGCATATATACCTGGTGAGAATAATTTCTGTGATAGCACGGAATATACACAATTCCTGGCCTTTTCCAGGAAGGACTGAGCTGGCCCATAAAGCAGAAACTGTCATCCACTAGCCTAGGCTGTTCTGCCTTTTCCTGGCAGAGCCATCATCCCCCTTTCTCCAGCAAAGTCCAGAGTTAGTCCTAGCCCATGTTCAGGACCATCTGTCTCTTTAACAGTGTCAGCACATACCAGCTGGTTCTTTGCTGCGAATATCTGGTCTCCCACCAGATCCTATCTTTCTCCACGTCAGATTCAACTCTGCCATCCAAAATCTAGTGTAATAGACCCTTACCATTGACCTACCAAGTACAGGTTCCCCATTTGTTGAGACTAAAAAGTGGAAATGCTCTTTCAGAGCATACACACATCCATACACACCTCCCCTCTGTCACCCACCTCTTGTCTGCATTTTCTCAGCAAACTTCTAACAAGTCTACTGGAACCTTACCGTCCCTTAGGCAGCCAAGATGATATGAGTGATTGTGTCACAAGTAACTCCTAATCTTTCCTTAGTGTAGAATAATGACTTTCCATTGTTCTTCATATTCACTTTGTGTCCTCCTGCCATGGTCCTTAAGCCTTCCTCACACATTTTCCTCACCTACTTGCCTCCTTGATCTCATGAACTTTGGTATTACAGCAGTTGAGTGATAATTTCTGCAGGAAAACTTCCTGCTGTCTGACTCATGTCTCCTAGGTTAATTTCCATGCTGCCCAGGCACCACACACTTCTTTCCAGAACTTCAGACACATGTCCTTAATTGTACATTATCAGCCTGTACTGGCCTGCATGCTCCCTAAATTCATGTGTCCTGCTGCTTTGTTTACCACTGGCCCACACTGGCATAGGTCTTTGGTGGTGAACCTGTAGTGTACGTGCTACACCGGGCTGTTAGTTATCACTGAAGCTCTGAAATGTTCAGCATCACTGGCATAGGTGCTCAATTAATACATGTTAACAAGTGCATTCATCATGGAATAAGATAGGAAATTAAATTCCCTCCAACTTTTTTTTATTTAATAGCATTTCTCATGCAAAAAATAAGTACATGTTTGTTTTTGAAAACTTTTATGCACTTAGAACCTTGGAGTTTGTTAAGATAAAATAATATATATAATGATAAATGTTAGACTTTAGGTGTAGACTCAGCTCTGAAAAGAAATTAGAATCATTGATTCAACTCTTTTTTTTCTTCAAATAATTTTTTCTAAAAAAATACATTACCCTTAATATGTGGAACAAATTGTAATGATTTAATACATATATACCATGTATAATGATCAAATTAGGGTAATTAGCATTTCCATTTCTTCAAACATTTATTATTCCTTTGTGCTGGGAAACCCGGTACTCCTTCTATTTCTATTTAAATTAAATAACAAATTGTGAACACTAGTCATTCTGCTGTGCTGTTTAACACTAGAAGTCACTCATGTCTAAATGTATTTTGTACCAGTTACTCACTCCCTCTCTATCCTAGCCACTTCTCCCAGCCCCAAGGGACTTATATTAGAATAGCCTCCGCTCCACTGTCTCCTTCTATGAAATCAAGCTTTTT